ACTCCTGGTTTTTGGTATACCGGTGGTGTAACTTCTTAGAATGCGACCACCCATACCGAGGATAATTAACAAAAAATACAGAATACTACCGCAATGGTTACAACCAAAGATAGTGACTACCACAACACTAGAAGGCTATAACAACACCTGCAATGTCAATAAATGATTCCTAATATCTAGGCTAAATCTAAGAGTTAACGCAAAAAATAGATACGAAACAAACCACGACCAATTTTTAAACCGCGCGCCGCCAAGGTCAGCCAGTCTCATCCTCACCTTAGGTGTGGTGAGTGTGTTAAAAACAACAGTCCGTATTAAAGTTCGGAAAACTGTTCGTGGCATGTTCCAAATCAACTGGTACATATCCAGCATAGTTGGTCGAAAAGTATCTTCATGTGGCTTTCAAAACGGCTTAGGACGTCAAAAACGGCGAAAAGGTAATGGAAAACAGGTATGAATCGCTCGATCACCCTAGAGGCAAAACAAACTCTACAACTTGAACTATTGGAGGTGCTAGTGCGTACGGCAGACAGTAAGTTTCAATCCGTCGGAGGAGGGACAGAACAGGAAGGGAGTAAAGGTGCAAGAGAGTTGCAGGAAGGTAAGAGTGAAGAATCGTGGGTTTCAATCGACCCAGGGAAGGTCAGGTCAGGTTGCACAGGACTGAATATGGCCACGGCCAATCGAGCGTCCAGAATTCCTTCGATGGTATGCTCATTGAGTGGGCACCCAGCACTGCATGCACTAATATACAGGACAGAGAGCCGTTAAGGTTAAGCGCTATCCATTATGCATCTGTGATCGATAGTAAAGATAGATCCATGACGGACCACTTTAAAGGACCATCATAAGAAGGATGAAGAGGTCTCCGGACATCATCGAATCTAACCCAGACATGAGTGCAGTGAGCCAGATCCCTATGAACATACACCCATCGTGACTGTGGACGCGGTTGGGTGGGTGTCAACTTGTCGATATGGAACAGAAGGTGTGGGACATAGTTGTCTATATGGGAAAACGTCTGTTGTGTGGTAGAAGAAATGTAGTTTCCAGGCAGACGCAAAATGGTTCTAAAAGCTAACTCGGCTTAGGTGCATTTGAGATTCTCTTCAAGAGAGTTGCGAATGCCAAGAAGAACTGTGGGCAGGTAGTGGAGAGCGAGTGGATAGAGCCGCACTGAGCTGACGGTGGAAGCTCTCAACCAAACCGATTGCCGCAAGATGACAGGCAGTGATGCGCATTTGAAGAAAATCAAGACATGAGGTCAGAGTATTGAATAATGAAAATTCAAACTGGAGTCTGCGGTCGGTGGTAATGATTGCTAGGCAGCTAAACTGAGCTATTCACCTTTCAAAAAACGCTTTCACGATGGTGGCGGCGTAAACGTTGACAATCGGAATTGCTTCAGGTCAACGGGTTAAACGGTCGATACAGGTGAGGATATAGACAAAACCGTTTGAAGGCTCAAGGAGCCCCACTATATTCAGATGAACGTGGCTATTTCTAGCATAAGGCAATGCGAAGTTACCAATTGGAGTGTGGGTGTTGCGATGTACCTTGGCCTTTTGACAAGCTTTGCAGGTGCAGGCCCATGAGCGCACGTCTTTATTCATAGACGGCCAAACGTAAAGTTGACTGAATAATCTGAGAGTAGAACGGACTCCAGGGTGTGATAACCCATGTAGGGCGTCAAACACCAGTCGTCGTACAGGTTCACGAACCAGATGTCAGGGTACCTGTTGCGAGACGTCCCAAAGAGTAGAGCCGTCAGAAGTGGGCACGGGAAGCCTACGAAGCTCTAGAGACGACGCAGGGTTCAGAGGTTGGGCAACTAATTGAAGAGCCGCCATGCGTTCTAGGTCAATGACCGGTAACTCTGAAAACAAGTTGAGCCGTAACAAGGCATTGGCCACGACATTTGCAGCGCCAGAAATATGTCTTATGTCAGTTGTGAACTGAGAGACACAGTTTAACTGGCGGACCTCTCGGGGTGAATACTTATCATCATTAAATTTCAAAGCAAAAGTCAGAAGCCTGTGATCGGTGAAAATAGTAAGTTGACGTCCTTCAAGGGCGTCTCGGAAGTGACGTACAGCAAGATATATAGCTAGCAGCTCACGGTCGAAAGTGCCAGTGAAGGCGCTGTTGAAAGACAGTACCTGTAGCAACGTTGGAAGTTTCAACGGCCAGGCGAGGAGGTGCTTCCGGAGAGTAATGAGATAAAAGTGAAACTTGTGAAAGTGCCTCCTTAACGGCACTGAAGGTTTGGAGGGCAGAGTCGTTAAAAATTACCGATTTAGAATTTGCACTGAGTAGATCGGTCATAGGCTGACAGATCTGAGCACAACGCGGGATAAGCCGATGGTAAAATTTTACTATCCCCAGGAAACGTCGCAAGTCTTGAGCCGTAGTGGGGACGGCGAAACGACGTAGTCTTCAACCTTGGATTCTAAAGGGCGAATAGCACTCTGGCCTACAGTATGCCCCAGAAAGGTAAGGGAAGTGAGGCCGAACTCGCACTTGTCTGGGTTGATGGTGATGCCATGGAGACGGATCCTATCGAAGGCAAGACGTGAGTGAGGAAGATGTTCAGCTTCATTGGTGCTGATAACGAGAATATCATCGAAAAAGGCAAACACAAAGTATAAAACTCGGAAAACCTCGTCGATGAAGCGTTGGAGGGTTTGAAAAGCATTCCATATACCGACGGGTATGCGAAGAAATTCAGAGACCAAACGACCTGATCACCGCGGTCCTTGGGATGCCAGCAGGGTCAACTGGTATCTGGTGGTAGGCACGCACCAGACCAAGTTTAGAGAAGATAGTTCTGTCATGTAGGCAAGCTGTGAATTTATGGATGTGTGGGATAGGTTAGCGATCAGGAGTGGTAACTCTGTTAAGAGCACGATATTAACCGCACGGACATCAATCCGTTGAATCCCTTTTTGGGGACAATGTGAAGGAGCGAAGCCCAGCTGCTGTCGGATGGACGAATGGTTCTGGCTTTAAGTATTCGGCCCAATTCTGCTTTCGCGATAAGGAGTTTGTCAGGCGCGAGAATACGAGCACGTAAGAAGACTGGGGGGCCTGAGGTACCAATGAAGTGCGTGGCTGGAGTTGTAAAAGAACGAAAAATATCTGAAGATTGGCTGATTGTGGGATAGGTGGACAGCAATTCACTATAAGGACTAAGAGGAAGCTTGTGAAAGATGGAACTAATACAGTTTAAGGTAGGTTCTTGACCATGGACAGTGAAATTACGTTCCAGGTCAGTCAAGAGACGCGGCGAGCGTCAACGGATAGACTAAAATGCTGCAGAAATCCATTCCAAGAATAGGAAACGGTGCATTCGCAACGATGAAGTCCCAAGTGGTTACTTGGGGCAAGTGGAAGTCTACCGTGAGCCGTTGCCTATGTACATCCTAATAGGGCTTCCATTAGTAGCAGACGAAACAGAGTATGGTTGTGGGAACAGGGATTCTGTGGTTGATTGTTCAAGTGGCTATGAAGTGGCTTGTTTAATTCTGTCTAGCCAGCTAGCTCGCTTAGGCGATCTGAAATAGCTGCAACTTGAGTGGCAATGGCGCTGGATTGATCAACTGTATCGGCTATAGCAGAACAGCAAAAAGTGCCCTGTGAATAGACAGCCATAGTGCTGTCGGTTACTTCGGCCGCAACGCTGAGGGGATAGCCAACGCCTAGTGCCAGGACTATGCAGACAGCCTTCGACAGCTTTTGAACCCAAAGTTCACGAAGCAAGTTATAATCAACCTTCAAGGGATAGAGCTCTTGCTGCATGTTGCGCAAGAGTTTGGAGGCTTAAGGTAGCTCAGATTCATTCCGTGGACTACGTTCCTGATTTTTTCTTGGATGGATAAGCGGGCACGAGTTAGGACGCTCCTCTGGTACGGGAATTATAATGTGAAACACTAGTTTAGCAACATCCAAAGGTAAAGCTTACAATACAGGATGAATTTTCCAATCGGAATGAGTGATACGTCGGGTCGAGAAATAGGATTGGACCACCGAAAACTCACACGGAAGGATTTTATGACAAAAAGGCGGACTAGTGAAATTAACGGCGTTCAGGATTACCGGGTGCTGCTTAATAGGGGTAAATTTCTTTAATTCGGTCATGATTTGAGATGTAGCAGACTAAATACAGTCTAAACGAGAACTGTAACAGTAATTCTGTGAAAATACCCAAATGGAGCAAAACTGAGAAATATTTTCGAAGAATAAATCAGTTGCACCCCGCGTAGCGCAAAGAAATATATAAATTAAGAAAAATAACTGGGGCGGTTATTGAAAATAAAATTTCGTATAAATTTACAAATAATCAAAAAAATGGAACAGGCTCACCAGTTTAGAGACAAAGGGTGCTATATCACGACCTGCAAAAGCGATTCAATCTCTAATATCCCGTGTTTCTCGATAGCCCGGAATGAATCAGGAAGAACAACCGGCTAGTGAAGGGAAAGTATATTGTTCCCTGAAGGTACCGAAAGTTTATCCTGACTACGCTCGAGAGTATCTGAAAGTGAAATGCTTAGCGAGCAAAGGTGTGGCAACGAACTCACACACCGTTTGAAGTGAAGTTACTTCACCGGAGGTAGCAATGACTTCAAAAAAGATGCAAGTCCTAGTTGAAGAAGCGGTCTCAGGATATGGAAGATTCTGGCGGAATCTATCAAACAAAGAAGTAGGATGTACTGGCGAGATGCTCCGAGCAACCAACGCCTGAAACCATGCGAAAGCATACATGCGGAACAGGCAGACCAAGGATGGTGACGACTCCGGAGCATGTTACACTGTCGCTGTGAAGCCAAAACACCTTCCTCAAAGTGCCTTCCCAGTCCTTCTATTTATTCTCACTTCACTCTTTGCCTCTTACCCATTCGTATTATCTTCCATTTTATTCTTGTTTCGATATCGTCATTCCGCCCACTCTATTAACATTGGATCACTGAAAATGGTACTAAAACTTCCGAAGCTATTACGCCGGGTTAGTAACTTGGTCGACGCCGGTGTCAGGGTTTAGTGCCTTGATCCGTAAGACATGACTGGAATGTGGCCCGAGAGTGGGAGGTCAACCCCGGACTCTCCTGACGTTTTTCATCGCAATAGTGAAGAAGAGTCTTCTCCCTGTTCCATCTATCACAGCATCGAAGGATCGCTAGAGACCACTGCCGCTAGAAACTGGACTAAGGGGCACATCAAGATCAACGTCCTGGAACTTGAATAACTATTTCCCGGACCGTTTTGTTCCCGTAGTTCAAGAAATTGATATTTCAATCCATAAAACTATGAAAACTAGTGAACTCAAAGTAGCGCAAAACGCGAGAATACGCATTACCAGGTTTTGAACATAGTCTAGTCTTGTGAGCACTTGAAATGAAACGTCGAAAAATGCCCAGTAAACGATTTTTGTCATATCACGATGCAAGCTACCAACAGCAACTGCTATTGACAACTGTATATCGTGCGAAATTTCGATTGATATTTCACTAGTGTAGTAACACAAACTATCTCCCATTCTACATGTAGCCTTCCTCTCTTGCATCTCATTGTTTTATCGCACCAAGGCCATTTCTTTGATCAGCGCGTGTTTGCTTTCACTTTTCGCACGCTTATTCATGCTTCCGCTTCTCCTCTTTTGGCTCTGCAGATTTACACAATACAAACACCCTCCGTTTCGTGAAGTGTCTTGTTCTGCTTTTGATGGAAGGTCGTTTGCGATTTAGACGCATTAACTCGGGGTACCGATAAGCCAGCACCTACACTAGTGACGAATGAAACGTGTAACAGAGTAAAAACCAAGTAAAAGACGTTGGAGACTTCGAATAAACAAACGGCCGTGGGTTGCATTTCAGGTTACAACGTGGGAAACTTACGTATGGCTGACTTGCACATATGTGCGGTGTGTACTTATATATCTAAGTACAGATGAAATCCACCAGTTTCACGAGGCAGTAGGACTCCATGGTGGTGACATTCTACAAATGAATGGCAAGTTTATTCCCCATCGAAATCTTAGCCTAAATCAAGAAGAAAACTGCAAGAAATGTGCAACTAGGACATTTCAAAAATTTGCTTATTGACCTGTGTGCCATCTCCCTCGCAGTACACGCAAAGATCGCGCACAGAATATCTACCGAATATTTCCTTATTGCGATCAACAGTTTCATGAGATGACTCGGTCTTCCGACTTATATCTTCTCGGACAATGGATTCAACTTCGTCAGCGTGCCCACTGAACTGCAAACGTGGTTGTCGTTCGTCGATTTAAACGAAATATACAAGCGTTTGGCCTTCCAGAATGTCCGTTGGCATTTCAACCCACCTTATGTCAGTCCTCGGGAAGGAGTGTGGGAACAAATGATAAGACCATTGAGAAGGTATATTTGGCAGCATGTACTCAAAAATGTATTGAGGATGAGATCCTAGAGATGGCACCAATCGAGGTGGAGCGGAATTTGAACAATAGATCTCTAACTCTGGTGACGTAAGAAACGAAAGAAAGATTATTTCATCCAGGTTGATGATGCAGTAGAATTACATGGTGATGACGTTCTGCAAATGAATGACAAGTTTATTCACCACCAAAATCTTGGTCAAGATCAAAATGGTATCGTTGGGGGTTTCTAACGGTACATTCCAAAATTGGCTTGATGCTCATTTCGATACTTATTACGTCGCATTTAACTCAAAGTCACTTGTGAGTAGTGGTGTGGAATAGATGATACTTATTGATTTGAACTGACTATGCTTCGAACTTCACCTTCCTGCACAATGGCACAGTGGTAACGCACACGCCTTCCATGCGATGGGTCCGGATTTCAAATCCTGGACGGGACGGTGGATATACACTTATTGCGTCGACTGCTATGTTTTCCATCCGATTGTAACAATTCTGCTGTAAAAGTATACCAATGAAAAGGTTCATTTCATCTATATTTTGCAGATAGAACACATCCGCACTACCCGGGATATAATGTAACGCACATGGGCTGTTGATTCGATATTTTCACAGATTGCTACTGAACACTTGAAAAGTAAATGACCTTGCACATTACATCCTTGTTGTTAGCAAGTAGAATGAGACTTGATTATCTCGCGGTGGCCAAAACTTGTGAATAGAAGTTTTACGTACAAAAGACCAAAATAGGAATAGGAAGTCTGGGTTTCGTACACAGAAACACACACACAAACCCACTTCGAGCCTTATCTTGATGTCTTTTCCTCAAATAGAAAACGAAAAAACCTTTGCGATTTTCGCACTCTGGGCGCACAAGAGTTGCACTTTCGGCGCACGCTATACGCACTGGAGTCGCATTCTGTGACCACTTTTGCTGGCAGGTTTAAGGTTCATTGTTTTGAACAGTGACTGATTAGATAGGGACGCGGTTTCAATCTGTTAATCATTAAAAGGTCCGGCATGTTCTGTAAATCAAGTCCAATTGAGGAACTTCTTATTCATGAACGGCTACATTGTCGATGGGGTTTATTCGATCGCTTTTTATTAATAAAATACAAGTTAGAAAAAATGGAGAAACAGAGTGATAGAAGTATACAGACAGGTGGAAAGGGTGTGTGAGAGTGGGGCGGGGTCCAATAGGGGGAGGGTTGAAGCCCTTATCTCATTTCCAACTGCTCCATACTGCAGCATAAACACTTTAGAAGACGGAAACAAGATAACGCACAACATGTGAAGAAGCCCGATGCTAGCAAGAACATATCTTCCATTTTTACCTCCAATCAGGTAACAAAAGTCATCGTTGTGAGGAGAGCTGGGTGTGGGACACCACGAGAATGTGAAACCAGGGAAAGGTAACTCATGTATGTCCCTGCTGATCCGTTTTCAAAACCTTATTACTCAGTTCACTGGAATCCGATCAGTTAGATACGCAAAATGATTAGGAAAGTGGTTCACGGGGTAGGGCAGGGGAGAAGAAAGTGGTCAGATGAAGTGGGACGAGGGGAAGAACGGGAGAAAGATATCACACTGGATAAGAATAAAGGGACAGATTGGAAAGTGATCAAGATGATGAAAGTAATGAGAATATTATTCATCTGTTGATGTGTTGTGTGCATATCATGTCAATGTGGATGATCGCAAGAAAATGAATGATGGATATTTGGTGTGCATGTGTTTACATGTCAATGGATACGAGCGTCGAAATGATAAGTTGTGTTGAGAAGAAAAATGCGTGTCGCTTTCATCACATTCCAAGTTTTTGCAGTGCTTAGTGGTAAGGAACAAAAGCCAGTAATAAGAAACAATCAGTTGTTTGTCAATCAGTTTATTGTTCAACCGGGACTTGAGATATATATGTATAGATGTAGATATACGGCGAATGTCCTCATGCTGCCGCGGGATTTGACCAAAACAGCTCTAGCGTAAGCAGCACACAGTGCGGATATTCAAAGAAAGAATATGAATGTATTCACACTTTGACCGACAGGAATCTGCAGCCCAACGGGCAAAGAATAGCCCCTCGAGCAACTTCTTGAAGGTTTTCCACGTACTGGCATAGTGATGAGAGAGAGACAGTAACCAAACGAGTAAAAAACCGCATCAGATTGTTTGCTACTGTGTGTGTTTGTGATCATGAGATGCCGGGAAAAGATAGGATGATGAGCGGGTGGATGAAATACAAATCGGTTTCTTCTTGTGGGATTTGGGTGGCGGGAGGAGAGGAGGGATAACGGATTTCTGCTAGCAAGGAGCACGTATATAATGCTATTGTTCTGAGGTTCTGTAGGTATGGATTCAAGTCAGTTTAAGGAAGGGTGAAATGCATCGGTATCACGGGTGTTGCAAATTCTGTGACAAGTTATCACAATCAAAACTACAGCGGTGGACGTTTTACATGAGCTACTCGAAGAGGATAATAGAGATATCGCCAGAACATGCTGTCCTCCATACAACCAGTCCAAAAGTAGTAGCTTCCACATTCGGGTACGAGTAGGAGACAGAAACACAGTAGTAACAGAGGCAGCATTAGGAGTAGTAGACCGAGTATTGGGCAAAGACGACGGCAACACGAACCACTGGGCCTGGATCTTGTTTGATTAGCACTAGATAACCAGGAACGAAGAGATGTGTTTTAGAGGTAAAAAGAGGGCATTGAAATCAATAGAAATCGATTAATAGAAACACTTTAGGGTGAAAATTTTAACTGAGTGAACTAACTTATCAGCGGGTTTGAGAAAAAATTTAATCTCTGCTAAAGAAAACTTTACAGAAAACAGTAATTGCACAGGTGATCAAAATTATGAGAATATTGCCATGTTATCTTCTCAACAATTCCCCTAAGAATATGTCCAATGCGAAAAGAACATCTCTAGCATTTCTAACAGTGTGACCTCCAGCTCGATACAGCTTGTCTGCCGAAACGAAACTCAGCTTCCCCGATTGCAGGGTACCCAGGAAAAGCGAGCGCAAATCCTATAGACGATCTTTTCAAGCGGATACATTTGAAATCCAGGATGTAGAAAGGGGAACGAGGAGCTGCGAAAATGGTGCAAACTAACATAATCCTACTTGTTCAACAAGAGTTTGTTTGGATAGAGATTGAGCAATCCTATTTGCACAATCCCAAGGATGTCAAGGAATCACAGAAAACGTAACTCCCCCCCCCCGCCCCCGAGAATTCCCACGGTATGAATTGGAAGTGGATTTCCGATCACTCATCATCGTGGGGAAGTATCGGTGTTTTCCTGATGTTACTCCATCCGTGAGATCCAGGGTAACGGACAGAACGAGAATCTAATCGGTCCATTTTATTGCTTGGTGTTCTTGTATTTTCCTTTCCGGAGGGATCTAGACTGTATGCAACCCCATAAATATAGCACAATTCACTTCCATTAAGGCACCGAACTATAGGCTTTGATTTTAGTGTCAGAAGTCAAGAGTTTCAAGTGACTATCAATGATACTCAAAGTGGTTCGAATCCCACCGTCATCTTCTGTCCTACACGGGAAACAGCTTCCATTTTTTATGAAGTAAAGAACACTTAAAGTGTATTGTCCGAATATACCGTTATTAAACATTGTAAAATAACACAGAGTAGCAAACAAACTCGTTTGCTCTTCTAAATGCTGATCCATCACAATTTATATCAAACTGTTTAGTAGGGGGAGAAATCTGTACAACAAGTTTTCGTGACTCCCAGACCCATCTTTTCTAAAGTTTATCTCCAAAATTTGTGATAAAAAGGAGTAAACTTTACCAAAATATGGCAAACAAACAACACACTTGACAGTATTTGATTTACACGGAATTCACTCACCTTCGTGCTGTGGCTAACCCCACACGACCAGTTTCGAAGGGTTTCTGGAAGCATAATGAAAGCAATCGGTTAGCTCTGATGAACTCTAAACGCTGAATCAGACGGGAGAGATACTTTTTGGCTTCGTAACCTTGCAACATCAATTTACCAGACAACCACAAGAACAGCACAGGTTCAGTTTGACAATAATCAAGCAAACGAATAAACAAATAACTTTCAACAGAGAATCACTATTCTCAGGATCTGCCTCATTAGTAAATTTCTTTTTTACCGTCAACCAATATGACAAAGAAAGGAACGAGGGGAAGCGGAAAAACTTCTCAGTTGTTGTCTGGACTATCGGATCAGTTTTTGTCAAGCACCTGGGCTCAAAACATTAGTGCTCCATTCAGACAATTTTGCAGTCTACCTTGCTGTAGAGTGGGAATAAAACATAATTTATGGATATCTGAGCTTAGCATTAAAATCCCATAACTTTTGTGGTAACAGTTCACGGCAAAACAGAGAATGAAATGCATCCACATTCGGTTATGACAAGCAAGAAGTAAATTGTTCAATGAGATCAGGTTAAAGAATTGCAAGTGTTGCGCATGTATGGATTAGCCGTTTGGAAACATTCCAACCCACAGCTTGCCTGCTCACAGTGCAACAAGCGAAAGAGGGGGAAACCTGGGGAAAACAAATTTTGAATTTAGCTACCGAGAAGTTTGGAGACATAATAAATTTGAGTTATCACTCACCTCGAGAACCATTCAATACCTTTTGATCG